TAACATTCTATGAAGTGGATTATCATTCCTTTACTGATTGTTGTACAAATTTTGAGTTCTGAGTAATTGTCAAAAGTAGTTTCGGTCTCAGTAGCCATTCTTTTGTGATCTTCAATTGGTGAACAGTTCACTCAATGAGGAACACAGCATTGTTTAATGTTAAAATGATCGCCTCCTCTTTGTCTCCTATTATCCTCAGCGATTTCTTCTGTGTGCGTCTGTGGAATCTAAACCAGAGGAGAAAGGGATGGTCTCGGAGAAACTCGTACTGCGTCTTCAGAGGGAGCATCGACTCGACGGTGCCATTAGTCTGCAGGAGGTTTCTCGAACTCGCTCAACTGACATTGCGCTCAACGCCTACCTTGCGCGACGCCAAGCCAGCGTCGCTGTTGAAGCCGTTGGGGAGGGTAAGCGAAACCCAATTTGGTTATTTGACGTCCAAGCTATCCTAAAAATTGCTTTGAAGCGTATGCGACTAGAGTTGCATTTAATAGTTCGATACGGAGAACATGTGGTGAGAGATTGGAATCATCTCTGGTTGACTATCCAAATGAGTGCTTTGGAAAAATAAGTGTCCTTGCAAAGAAGGATGTTTAACTAGTCGGACTTGTTAAATTTACACTCCCTAGGTTGGTTTTCGGTTGATTTATCAATGAACGAATGAGCTCTGAGTTGCATTATGGAGCTCTAAGCCCGAGGAGATGTCATGTAGAACAAAGTTCATATCTTTGCCTATTTAGCGCTTCATTACCATGCTTCCATACAAATGGTTCGATTATCAGGGACCATTTACCACGGAGGAAAATTCATATTTGGAAATATCCATGTTTTAAATCAATTACGACAAAAGCTAGCCTGCTTCCGACTTATGCACACATTCTGAGATTCTTTCATTCTAAAACGGGGAGCTCGGTGGCGTTGAACATGATGCTGCCTTTGGAGATTGTTGAACTTCGCATGCTTCATTTCCACAAACCCTCAATGCTCACTCCCTCCAATAACTCCGAGCCGAGGCTTGGGTAGATAGGCCTCTTCTACCAACTTAGCACACTTCTCACAAGTAAGACGTTTTGCTTTTTATGTTTTGGTCTGAAGTAAGGCTATGTTTATCCTCAGATGTACACTGGCAATTAGTAAAGTACTTTAAGTATGGAACCTTCGTCTTTCGAGTTTGTTGTTTGCCTCTTACAACTTGGGGCCAGACATTGTTGGTGATCATCAGAGAAATGGATAGTGATTGAGCAATGGTGGCATAGGTGGGAGATGTACGGTAGAATCACCTTCTCCATTTTGAACGGGTGCTGCCGCTCTCGAGCATGGATGTCCTTTGAACTTGCTCTTATGAACGCGTAAAGTGGATGCCGACGGCATCAGCAGCAGTAGTTACTGTTGCCACAACACCTAATGGCTTATATAGCTATCATTTTAGGTCAAAACAGAAACGCGAGAATTTAGCGAACCTTCATTCTCCCTCCTCTTTCTGCTACTACGTTTAGCTTCCCATTCATTTACTTAGCCTAATAGCACCAGTGATGAGGTGAAGTGCATGAAAGCGACCAGGAGTGGCGCCAGAAAGTACGTGCCCTTTTAAACCAAAGCGCCATGCTGCTTGAAATTCACCTAAATTGTAAAAACATCGAAACATCTTAGGTCGGTGTTACCTCCCACTTCATAAGCTTAAAGACGTTCTTTATTCACTTGTTTGATGCCCTAGTTTTAATGAATTTATCTATTAACATGGCTGAAGTGGGTGATGCTTGTGGGTAGGGAAGCTGACGCCACTGAAGTTGGAAATCATG